AATATATAAAGAAAAATTTTCTTCAAAGATATGTGCAGTTATTATTATGTAAATTACCCAATTGTTTATGATTTCAACCTTTACTATAATTTCTGATTTCTATTTCTTCATATTTGTTACATTTTTCTTTTCTGTTCTGACACCAGATGTTACATTATTTTCTTCTTCACGTTCGTACGGGGTTCGTGTAGATTTGGAGTGAATAACGACGACACTTTATGAAGTATTGAAACACACTTTATTTATCAATATTAATCAGGACAGCTCCCAAACACGTTTTACAGTCGTCGGTGAACTACTATAAACACACTGACACAATCAGCGACACAGCCTTCAGGTTATCAGGCTATCACGATGGAGACACCTTTCTGCAAAGCACTCGACTCTGCTTTCCGGAGTACAGCTCCCGACTCTGCTTGGTCGTTCTTGGAACTCCACGTACTCTCGAGATTCTCCACGCTACAACTCGTGATGCACTCGACGACACATGAGCACAGCTCCTGACTCTTCGGTTCAGTCTTTCCCCGGAGCTCATTACGCTCTCTCAACAATGCACTAACCATGATACACTAACAGACTCCTTCAGTGGACTTGACGACCCACTTGGCACTCGCTGCCCGGCTGTCAACTCGATCGACTCCGCAGGGATTGACTCGCTAGATGAGGCTCACACACTCTCGATGAGAGACACACTTTCCCTCTTGATGAAGCACACTTACTGACTGCAGACCAGCACGGTTTATATAGCTTCCGGCTTGTGTTCGGGAACATTCTGGAGTAAACCGGTAAGAATTCGTTCCAGAAGGTTCACCAACCGTCCATGGTATATCGCCAATTTTATCGCCAAATGGGCAATTTCTCGACAAATATGGCAACCCTGCCCTTTTTGCTATTTTATGGCAACCCTAAAACAGCTTTGCGGGGAAGCCATATCACCGTACCTTTACATTTCGTAACAATATGATAGAGTTACTGAGCCAGATTAAATTAAAATTAAATTGTATAATCTTTGACCACTAGTTTGACCCTCATTATTAGTTTGAATTTGACTGTTCTTGTTTAATTATGTCACCGTGAGCTGAAATTGATTTTGTTAGCATCAAAACATGCCTTTATGTTCCAAGTTCTTTTTAAATAAAGAGGGTTATTTAAACCTTTGTCTGATATTGTAGTTACTTTCAGACATAGAGATAATATGCTTCAAGTCTGTCAGGAACTATTTGACTTTTACCAGATCAAGTAAACCCTCATAGGTACATTGTGGAGAGGTTGGCAAGTTAGGAGATAAAGCACGCAGAAACTAGCGAAAGAAATGGTTTGTATATAAAGACAAATCTCTAATTATTAGAAGAGATGCTTAAAGAGAAGGCCTATAAATGCTAAAAGAGGAGGCCTATATATAAACTAGCCAAAATGTCTGGGAAGGCTTCAAATTAAAATGACGGATAAATATTTTGTTGAGTGTTGTTGCTACAAAACATAAATATTTTTTAGCTTTTAATGTGTTATTATCCTAATATCGTTTAAGAATCAATTTCATAAATTACATGTATTTTAAACTATGAAATTTTATTAGATTTTAATAGGGCTTTTTTAACAAATATTGTTAAAAAATAAAATTTAATAGTGGTAATGTAAATCCATAATGACTAAGGTTATTAAACTACCTAATTTAGTTATTTATAGCTAAGTGCCTTACCCTTAAAATATATCTCTATATATTAAAGCAAGTTGTTTTAATATGTTTAAAACAACTCTTACTCTTAATATATGGAAATTATATTTAAAAAATAACATTAAAATAAAACATTTTTATTTTTCAATATATATTTAGTTTCTTTCTTCAACACATTTCCTTTTTATTTTAACCTTAAATTGTTTTTCATTAATTCTCACTGTAGTCACAAGATAAAATACAAAAATGTAAAAATTCAAGTAAAACTTATGCTTTGTATCTACTGAGACTTAAAATAATACAAAATATCTTATCACCTCTGCTGCTTTAATGGCTTATTGAAACCTTAAAGTATATTAACTGGGTTACAACCCCTGGAACTCTACACGAAGCTATGACACTAATTGCATCAAGCAGAGCCTAACTTTCAACACTTGCCAACCGTGCCTACATCAGGCCTTTCAGGTTTGTTTTAATCAGCAGGTCTCTCTCTAGACAAGCAGCAGCGGTGACAACATCCAGTCTTTTGTTATGAATCATGCTGATTATGATCTTACTTCTCATTTTAACCTATGCTGTTTGACATAAAATCTACCTGCTATTTACTAAGCCTCTAGACTGACCAAGTATGTGACAAAATGAGACATAAAAAAATCAAGATAAAGCTAACTGTTAGCAAAACGTAAATGTCACTTATGTTCTTTCAAATATGATCAACTATTATAAGTGTAAAATATTTAATGCTACTTGATAAATTACATTAAGTTTATTTTACTCTCAAACTTATTAATAATTATGTTAATTAATTCATGTTTAGTAATAATGCATACTACTTAGGCATCTATTTTATTTTTAGGATGGTATTAATTAATATACTTTAAGGTTTCAGTTAATATACTTTAAGTTAATATACTTTTAGGTTTCAAAAGTGAAATTCAGGCATAGATAATATTTTTAATTGAATTTATTCAGTTCCCATTTTTTTACTGAGAAGTCAAAAAGGTTACTAAAGTGCTTTCATTAAGGAGTTCAAAATTTAAAAGACTCTTACTAACATAAATTTTACTAATATTTGAATTCTCTTCCATTAGGAATTTAATTTCTATCTTATTTTATGCAAAACTAGGCACTTTATATTACAATTTAAAAAAACCATGAGCATGTATATTATCTTTAATGTTTCTTTATAGAAACTTACAAAATACAATTAGATACATAATTATGCTACTATACTATGTAATACTGATACATGATTACTTTATATAATATTATGCATAATGCATACTATAGGAATAAAATTTTGTAATACTAATACATTCATTCTTTTAAGTATAGGAGCAAATACCTTAACAAATTGAAATTTCAAATTAGCCTTAATCTATAGAACTTCAAAGTGGTAAAATTTTCTTGCAGCATCAGTTTTAACCATTTTTACAATAAATCCAGTTGTTTAGGAAATCTGTATACTGACAATTTAGAGCTGTCATTATAATTTCCTCAGTGTAACAGTGTACAACACTTTAAAAGCACAATTAAAACAAACAAACAGAAACGTCAAAATTAAATTAAAACTACTGACATTCAGCATATTAAAACAATGTCCCGGTTCACTAACGTGTCCTCTCCCCTAACTGGTTAATGCCATCTGGATGACCTCATCGAGGTGGCCTTGGTTTGACTGGAGGGGCTAACTTTTGCACCTATCGAGATAGCCAATAGTTTGTGATGAATAAATAAACAGAAGCCTTCAGTAGGAAGGCTTCTGTTTATTTTTCTGTTTGGCATGGCAGGGCCATTAATGATGCTGTGTGAACTTGTTTATGCATAGCTGGGCAGGACCGTTCCTGGGGCATTGGCTCCTATGTACTTTCCTAAGATTGTCACCCCAAAATGTTTTTAAAAAGTGCTCAAGGATTAATAAAATTTTTATTTCATACTCACTAAGTACTCATATATGACAAATTGTATAAAAAGTACTTACATATGACAAGTATTACAATGAATTTAAAGTATTTAGGCATGGTATTGCTAGAGTCTGGCCGCCCCTGATTTTGGCAGCCCACATACTTTTACGTGCTGCACCCCCGCTAGAAACAGCCCTGTATCCGGGCTTGCTTTATTATGAAAATAAAATTATGTGCTTAAATCAGCAGTCATGTCTGAAAGCTTTTATTCTCTGTTCTCTTATCTTAAGTATCCATGCAACTATTTTTCTAATACCAAGGTATCTACATAATTTATATTACATTAATTAGTCAACATGTGTGTTCAACCCTCTGAGCAGCATGGGATTGTGGATCTTTCATGAAAAACGGTATTTATTAATTAAATTTGTATAATTAAAGTCTTTATTTTCATAAACTTACATTCTTTAAGATGACATTTATTAAGAACAGTAAGAAAGCAAAATGTCTTAAATTATAAATTAATATGTGTAAAGTGGCAAAAAAATCTTGGATCTGATAACAACGTATGAGAAATGTAGTAATGAGAAAATTCATGAATAAAATGATGGAGGATTGTGAAACCTAAAGGCTATGTCCTAATAAACTGTTTTCTTTCTGATTGAAAAAGCCACGTATTGTATATATATTGTACAAAATTTATCTTCATTTATTAATGCTCTTTTTCCTAAAAAGGTTTTTCTATCACTCTTTTTCTTTTTGAAGGGAGGGGGAATATGTGAGATATAAAATATCAAAGAAAACAACTATTAACTTTAATTTAGCAATACTTCTTTTAGTTCTTCATTTTAATTTGATTATATTCCCTTCCTGTCTTAAAATTATGAATCTATGCTGCATCATCTGAAAACTAATCTGCTTTATGTCATCTTATAAATCTTACAATGTGGTAAGCTTTTTTCCAATTGCCGTTCAAAATTTAAACAAAGAAGTAAACTCTATGAATATGCTTTGGCGAAATATGTACACAATTTGTCTTCTCCTTTTGCTCTGCTTGCACATGTCATTCTGCTCCGCAGGTCAAGAAATAAAATTGTGTCTATCGTATGCATCTATGCTATCTTCAAGTCGAGTTATCTATAAAATTATCACACACACATATATATATTTATTTATATACTATATATGTAAAGAGTGTATATTTTAGCCGAGTTCATTTTATAATAGATGTTATAAAAACTTATCAATTGCTTTTTATCTATGCGTGAAATTTAAGTATTTTATACAACATCAGAGCACATTTTTTTACATTAATAAATCTCCATTTCAGAGAATATGTACTGAGTATATATTAATATGCTTTCAACATTCTGATTTGAAATTTCCTTCAGGCAGTAAATGTTCCATAAAATTTGTCTTTTAGGCAGCTGAGGATAAATATTGTCATTATAGGGGGATGCACACTGTAACTGTTAGAAAGGTAAAATATTTTTGATTTTGTAATGATTAATATTTATTTGTTAGTTTATTAATTATATATAATTTTTTGATTCACCTGCAACTTTGTATAGCACTTTGTCTAAAAATTGGGGTGAATAAGAAACTGAATATTTATTTCTTAAGTGCTTTTGTGAATTCTCTGTATCATATTGCAAGGAAAATGAAATTTATAATTCATCCAAAGTGATGACTTGCATAAAACTTTATACCTCATTTTTAGACTATCATCATTTTCACATAAGCTGGACTAGGATAATTATTACATAATGTGATCACTAGCTTTAAATGAAAATTTTAAAAGTATACTAAGGAAAACAAACATTTCCATATATTTTATTCAGTAACTAATATATTTTTATTGGAAACTACTCTTGTCAAAGCTATCAGTGATAATGATTTGTAAAAAAGCTAATTGGAAAGTAATGTTGCTGTTAGAATTGATTATCAGCAGGACTCAAAAACACATCATTTAAATTACTCTTTATATTTCTGTCATTTTCTTTTCTTCTGCTCATTTGCAGTTTATTTTATATTTGTTTTCAGCATTACAGCACAATAACTGTATTTTATGAAAATATGTTTGAGGATAAAGATGTGATACTTGAAATACAAAATGCAGAATTTGTTGATCAGAGGTCAAAAAGTTATTGAAAGTAGATCCTTTTGAATAATTTATATTTGGTTTAATTTGCTGTTTCAGTTTTTGTACTATTCAGGATCCTGATTTGTACTATTCAGGATCCTGATTATTAAAAGTTCTTCACATGCACTTTTTTTATGCACTTTTGATGTATTTTAGGTATTGTTTATTATCTGCATCTATTGATTAAAAATTATTAATATGAAAATAAAAGTATTTGCTTTTGAAGACTCAGGTGTTTGAAACACTTGTTGACAGGCGCCCGGACCAAAAGGTCCCATCCTGTGTAGAGCACGTTGGAAAAATGCATTACTTTCCTACCATAACGTGAAAAAATGCCCATGCATGAGATGAAATCTCGTGAAGAAATGCTATGAATGAGTCTTCATATATGTCCGAGTTAGTTACTCCTCCAAAGTCGAAACTTCAGTGCAGGGGTTGGAGCTACTGGTTATCATGTCCATTTGAAATCCTGTAAAGAAAGTGCATTTACTTGCAAATCAGGCATTGGAGAGGGGGCGAGGCTAAATTGCAATATGCATAAAAGTCAATGTAAAGTTACTTAAAATGTAATTTAAAGTAAAAAGATCATGGGCTGGAATAATGGGTGGCCTAAACGTATAATAAGTGGTGATAAAACAATAAATGGGGAGATATTTAAAATTCACAATAATTTTGGCAAAATACAGATTTTAACGGAGGGTGCATATTACAATTTACTTTAACAATTTCCATGCTGTAATTGAAAAGGGCATGTTTTGCTTACATAGTTAAATTATTGATTTCATTAATTATTTCAAAAAATAGAAGCATTTTATCACAAGGATCAGTTAACTCTTTCATTTTGGGCATGTTAGCTTTGAAGACTTTATTCATTATTCTAATTTTGTTGATTCCAAAAATATTGTTGAAATCAGTGATATTCTTAATAAAACTTATAAACTCAGAGTATTCATTTTTATCCTGTTTAGAACTAGTGGCGTTATTTACACTGGAGCTTTGCTTAGGGTTATTTACATATGAAACATTCAGATTTTTGACTGTGTTGCTAATATCAGATACATTAAATTGCATATTAGCCTTTACTGGCTGATTTTGTGCAGCTGGGAAAGGCTGGGGAGTTGGCCATTAGGTTTGTTACTAGCGTGTTGAGTCTGATTTTTTGCCATATCTGCAAAGGAGATTTCACTTTTTACAGTACTGTCTTTAATCTGCTGGCTAATTCTATTTTTAGGGAACTTTTCACACCCACGATATGACGTGACGTGATTCTTTAAGCAGTTACTACACTTGGGTTCTTCTACTTGAATTTGGGTTCTTCTATTTATTATATTGGGTTTCTATTTGTTGTGGCAATCCATCATCTTGTGATCTAAAGCACACTTTACACACCTTGGTTTAAAGAAGCAGTTCTCCGAAGAATGGTGCCACTTTTGACAATTATAGCATTTGCTTTTGAAGCGAGTTTTTGGCCTTTTAGCATATTATGTATGGCAAAACATCAATCCTAAATATGTTTAATTAAAATTTATGTGCCTATTCTTTCAGAAAGATAAATTAGAACATGTAATAATTCTGAAATGCTTATTTTGATTTCAAACTCTAGTATTTTCTGAAAAGTACAATTTTTGAAATAGAATTTATTCTATTTAATTTTTTGTATGCATTTTCTAAAAAAAGCCAGTTTCTTAAGTAGTTCTTATTGTATGAAATTAATATTCATAAAATAAAGTTTTATGAACATGAATTTCATAAATTAAAATTTTTGTTTCTCTCTTTTATGACTTAAATCTCTCATGGAAAACAAATTTGTACTATTTGTCTTCAGTTCTTGATTTGAATTCTTGAAGTCTTGTTTATGACATATTTGTAATATTTTCCATTCCTTATTGTTAATAACTTATACAGATATTGATATTTTATTTATTATTATTGTTTTGGCATTGCTCCACAATAACCCGAAATGAAGAGATAATTTAAATTTGATAATGCCTGGGGTTACATTGTATGTAATAAGCCAGAGGAAAAGAATATTAAGATTTGATTCTAGTTCACCTTAATAAGCTAAAATTGGGTAAATTATAAATGCTGACTTACCCATGTATACAGCCAAAAAGAAAGCGTAATAGTATCATCTGTGAAACATGTATTTATTTAGAACATTAATGTTGTAGCAGAAATTTAGATTCATATTTGGTCACAAGAAATCTAGGTAACACCCGTCACATAATGACATTTGCAAGTTCACTGTAGATCAACAGGACATCGAAGGAAGTAAAATCTTGAAACATCGCAAAAGTCACTAATTAAATTTCAACATCATGCTTGCAGAATACTATGGGATTTGATAGGAATGAAAATGTCTGGATATTTTTTACTGAAATGTTCTTTGTCAACCTTGTGACTCAAAGCAAAGTGACTTAATGAATTTACCATTGGATTAAATTCTGAATTTAGAAATTCTTTTTCATCCTAGTGGTGTGTGCAACAAGGAAAAAATATGTCGATGGACGAATGTTAAACACGTTCACAGATATGAAAGTAAGAAATTATATGAAGAAACACAACTTGCTAATCAAAATAAAAGGAAAAAGGGAAGAAAGTCATCAGACATCATATCTTGGGAGTTTTTATTCACATGTGCAAGCATAAGAGTTAAAGGGATGAGAGAAAGCAAAATCTCAAAACTGCCCTATTTATAGTCTTTTTAGCCAACATTCATTGCCACAGCTATAATGGAATTTGAAGTGAAAAATATGAGGACTTGCCTCCAGCCAATGAAGAGAAAGAACAGCTGTATTACAGCATTCAACACTTTAGTTACTAATTTACATGGCGTACATCCTTGTAGAATTAGTTCGACGTTGTCTATGAAAACTTATCACTATACCTTTTATATAATCCTGCTCTAAGTTCAAAATTGTCACATTCATAGTTAAATATCATTACATATCAACAGTTTTTACATAACTTTTTTTGTTGTTTCAGACCTTCTAATTACTAATAACAATTTCCATACACTGTCAATACACATACAACATTCTCATTCATATACTTGTTTATATTATTATGCATTTTGATTATTTAATATTGCACTTTATTTTTTTCTTTTCAAGTAACCCTCACAGCTATTTAAACTGTAAGTCACAAGAATTTTGTGTTTAGCCTGTTACTTGTAACAATAACCAAGTGTCCTCGATGTATTTTTTGTAGATTAGTCATATTTTTTATTGTTTTAATTCCATGGCTCAAACCAGTCCACAGCAGACCAAACATAAAAATGTATGTGATGACCATTATACCCACACTGGGACAACAAATTTCAAATATTGTTGGAATTAAATCCACTAAATTCTTAAATGATTATAACTATGTGTAATAATATTTTTTTTTTAATTCACTGAGATAACAAGGAAAACAGGCTCAGTGAAATGAAATGCTTTTTAATTTGTCAGATTATTAGACCTCAGAAGAACTTTTTTGAATAATTTACTAATGTGAATTTTTAAAAATATATTATTATTTACCCTTTGAATTGAGTAATTATAATTTCATAAAAATATTATTTTGAAAAGTCCAGTGTATTTTGGTTATGAAGTTTTTAAAAATACGTCATCCAGAGTATCAAGTGTTGGCATTTCTCTGCCTTTCACAAATTTATATATGTGCATGTGTATGTATTATATGAAGATTTAAAATGTAATTAAAATCAGCAGTTATTATAGCAGTTTAATAATAACTATGATGCTTAATAATTAATGTTGGATAAAAATTTGTTAAGTGTTAAAATTTTTATTGCACATACTGGATCAATACATACATTATCAAATATGCTGAATGAATATGTTCTAAATAATTAAAATAGAGCCAAATTTTTTTTTATTTCATACAGTAGTATGAAACTAAGCATGTCAAAATTCTAGTATTAATAGTTTGACTATATTACATGCTGAGAATAATTAGCCATATGCTAAAAGACTTTAAAAAATTAAAACACAATATTTTTAAATTAAATCAAAAGTAAAATCAACAACAATTATGGGTACTTCCTTAGCATCTGCTTTGCCTACATTTAGTGGAACGATTTCTGAAATTGTGTCTTTTTTATACACCAAATAAATAATGTAACTAAATTAGAAACAATGGTCAAATGAGATGAAAATAATAATACTAAAAATACACTGTAAGGGCAAGGTTCTTGAATTTTTTAATTAATGACCTTAAGTCAATTTTAAAATTTAGAAAAATTGTGGAAGGTTAAGTTTTTAAAAGCTAATTTTTTCAGGTAGTGCAACAAAAATTTTTGAATATATCCCAAAAATTTAATCAGTCTGTTAGAG